AGTAGTGTGTATTGGAAGAAAGAGAAGCATGGTGACTTTGAGAAATTATGGGAAACAAACAGTTTAAGGGTGGGGTTTACTTGGTGCTCTGAACACATCCTGCAAAGAGACCACTAACTTCTGTAATGATGGTGTAGAGAAGACTATCCTATTGCTACTTGGGCAATGACAGATGCTGGGCTCAGTTTGAAATATATTGCTTGCCATAGTTTATTCAAATATGGCTCATTTCCTATAACTAAGGAGTAGAGTGTCAGATAATAACACACAATGACCCATTTGCCATCCATTTTCAGGCCTGCCATGAGCTGTCTGAAACCCCATTGTATCCTATCACCTTTGGCTTCCTTAGAACCCATACTCTCAATGTGGGTGTTTGCTATTTGCCTCATTGTTCTTTGTCCACTGTCCCCAAACCAAACACATCACACAGCTGCAGGTTCTTTTCAAACCACACCCAAGTCTCATAAATAGCTTTCCCCTTCATGAATGTTTTCTTCAAACGAGCTAACCCACTAATCCTTTGAGAAAACCTAAGGGACTCCAAGGAAGGTCTAGTCCTACAGTCTTTCTTCTTCTCCAACCCATATGTGCTGGCCAGTTTTATGTCAATTTGACCTGTTACAGTTATCTGAGAGAAGGGACCTTTATTGAGAAAATGCCTTCAGAAGGACACTATGTAAGCAAACAAGCCTGATGGGTATTTTCTTAATTAGTGATCAATGGGAGAGACCCCGACCATCGTGGGTGAGGCTACACCTTGGCTGGTGGTACTGGGTTCTATAAGGAAGCAGGCTGAGCAAGCCATGAAGAGCAAGCCAGTGAGCAGCCCCCCTCCACGGTAGGCTTCAGCTCTTGCCTCCAGGTTTCTGCTCAGTCTGAGTTCTTGCCTTAGCATCCCTTAGTGGACAATGATTCAGGATATGTAAGTCAAATAAGCCCTTTCCTCTCCAGGCTGCTTTTGGTCATGGTGTTTCATCACAGCAATAGTAACTTCAACTAAGACACCACTCATATGCTCCCTGAGTTCCCTGCTGCCCATGTAGGTTTCACTGCACCCACATCCCCTCTGGACCTGAGCCTAAGTCATTCCTATGGTCTCTTATGTTTTGGTTTTAGTTCCTTGCTTTATCTCACAGTGTGCACGCGCGCACGCGCACACACACACACACACACACACACACACACACACACACACTATTTTGGCTTAGGGAGCCCCTCAAGACACAAACTGGAAAGGTGAGATTGCTCAATGGGTAAAAGTATGTGCTGCCAAGTCTGAAAACCTGCGTTCAATTCCTGCTTAGACCCTCATGGTAGAAAGAGACAACTGACTCCTACAAAGTGTTCTCTGACCTCTGTGCACAGGTGTGTATGTGTGTGTAAATCCTATTCATGGGAATGGTGGTGTCTCTGACTCCTTTGCCTGCTCTTGGGACCTTTATCCTCCTACTGTGTTACCTTGTCCAGCCTTGACATGAGGATTTGTGTCAAGTCTTATTGCATCTTGTTAAGCCATGTTTGACTGATAACCCTGAAAGGCCTGAACTTTTTTGAAGGGAAATGGAGGAGTAGTAGGTGTGGGGGAGAGAGAAGATGGTGGGGGAGGAGAGGAGGCTGTGGTCAGAATGTATTTTATGAGAGTAGAATAAATAAAAACAACGTAAAGAAAAAATAGCAATGGTGTCTGTTTGAAAACAAGACAAAACAAACAAGTCTCTAAGTTATTCCTACAGCAAATACCGTAACTTTGATCCTATGCTAAAGGCCAGATCTTGACTGGGGAGAAGATAGTCTAAGGCAGTGGTTCTCAATTTTCCTAATGCTGTGACCCTTTAATATTTAATATAGTTCTTCATGTTGTGTAACCCCCACAACCATAAAATTATCTCATCCCTACTTCATATCTGTGGTTTTACTACTGTTATGAATCATAATGTCAATATCTGATACGCAACCCCTATAAAAGGGTAGTTCAGACCCAAAGGGGTCATGACCCACAGGTCTAAGAAAAGACACTTGAATCCTCTCCCATTGGCTATCAGACTGTCTTATTTTTATTTATTTATTTATTTGTTTGTTTGTTTATTTATTCTTTCAAAGTGAGTATGCTAAACAGACGTACAGGAGTTGGAACTCAAAGTTGACATCCAAAGAAAAATACAAAGGATGCCCACTATGGATTCAAGGAATGGACCAAGGGACAAAGAACTCTGGCAGGTCCAGAGCAGTGGGGGGGGGGGGTTGTCTCACATCCCACAGAATTCTTGTTCTGTTCTGATTAATTTTCTTACAAAAGTAAGGGACAGTTAAGACCCCATTTTCTTTAGCATAGAATAGAGGGAACAGAGGTAACCTGGTACCCAGGACCCCTTCCCACAGAGAAGGACTGAATAGCCTGCTTCACAATTAAAGGGCCACAGTTTCAGCCTCTGTGTCACAGCTTTCTGTAAGTGTCAGACAGCCCCAGGCACAAAGAGAAGGAAAATTGCACTTTTTTACTCCCACCCCAGGCCATATTGGTGCAACTATGAACAAATCCATCTTTCTTTGCCAATTTTTGTTTTGTAATTTAACTGGAATGCAGAAAAGCTGACAGTAGCGCTTGGGACCTAAGTTTCTGGACAACAGAGGCTTTGACTACAGCTTGTCTGCAGTGCGTTCTTTTCCACTTTAACTTGCACTGATGCTGCTGCCTTTGGTCTCAGATTTCTGGTTGTGGACTTTATAAACTTGAGCTCAGAGTATCCCCAAACAAAGAAGCATGTTTACACATTAAAAAAAATGACTTTTGTGAACTATTTTAACTATCTTTGTATTGGGGAAAACTAAACCCCTAGTTAGAGATAATCCGGGGAGACAGATATATCTATTTTATATAGGCCAAGTCAGAAAAAGTTTTTTTTTGAATCAAAGATGATATGGTTATGAATTAAGCATAAATTCAGATTAAAGACTGATAATATATACCATTTCTATTAGCAGTTACATATTCTATTAGACATAGTCTTAATTTCCCATTTCGAACAGGATTTACAAATTTCTGATACCTCAATATTTATAAATATGCTAGCATTGTTGGAGATTTTGACATTTAGCTTGAATTGTATTTACTATTATAATTATTTGGGGGAATAATTTCCTAAGCATAGTGTGCTTTGAAACATTTGTGTGAAACTGAGAATGATTTTGTTATTATTTTACTTGTGCAAGCACTGAGATGAGTTTTGGGATTCATCTAAAGCAGCAATGTTTCAGACGATAGTTTATTTGCACAGTTACAAAGAAACTTTAGACCCCAAAACTTTAGGCTGTCTTATGTTTTAAAGTTTGCAGTGGGATATCTGTGCCCTATATTTTTTGTAAATATCTTCGGGCTGATAAGACATGAAAATGAGTATGATATCAGTATTTCTAAACATCTTGAAGAGTCTAAAAGCCCATAAACTGATATTGACCAGGCATGAGAAAATTTATATTACACAGACCATAAAAGTTACAATTTCTCCCAATGGACACTTCCTTTTAAAAATAATCAGAAACACAAGCACCAATGAGCTCACCCAGGTTCTAGAGGAAATTTGGAGAACCCACAGAAAGAGAAGATTGAAACAGAAAGGAAACTACCAGGCTACAGAGAGAAGCATTTATTAAACTGATCTCAACTCAGCAACCGCTTATTAAATAGCAATTAGTGCCTAACACTATAAAGTATCAAGATACCAAAACATATAAATAAGAAAGGATGGAGAAAGGAGAAGAAAAGGGGGGCTATCAGTGCCACAACAAGCTTCTATCATAGGGGAGTCTGAGGAATTTACACTGTATTTCAGTAAAGAAAATTCTTTCCAGGCCTTAGTTGTTTTTTTTTTTTTTTTAAAGCAGATTTATCACTTAATTATAAGATTAGGGAAAGGACTGAAGAACTTGGTCCATCCACATAGAGCATCAGCAGAGAATTGACACTATCTTTTCACTTTATTTTAACCACTGCTTGACCCAGCTAACCCGAGTCCTCTTGGACCTGTGGGTGGAGCCTGCTCTTTCTCACTTGGCTGTGGAAGACTGCTTGAGAGAAGTATACACAACACCCTTTATTAGTTCCTTCCTACCAACCAGATTTACTGCTCACTGCATGAAAAACCACTTGTAATGGATCTAGAAACCAAAAAAGAAATGAAACGGGGTGGGGTGGGGAAAGCCAGCTTCCAAATATTTACTATGAATGCCCACAGAAGCTTGAAATTTCCTACAAGCAATGCTTAGCATGGCTGAGGAAAGCACTCTGGGCCCCATGACCATAAAAGTAACAAGGCATTAAACAAGCCTCAGCCTTAACAGGCTGTGAGAGGGAGGACAGGAAAATATTCAAATTACCCCAGCCCAACTAATGGTACATTCAGTCTGAAATCCATTACTCAAGGTTCTTTAGTAACCCCTAGGCCTCGTCTACATTCTGAAAAGAAGTGTGAAGTCAGGTGAGTGACGGCCATTCTCAGACTGGTTTAGAAAGGACCATACAGTCACTGCAGTTCAAAGAGAAAAATTGGGTAAAATGAGGAGGAAATACAAGAAAGTCTGAATTCTGACTACAAATACTAATGGGCTTCCTACAGTTTTCAACAAAGGAGCTTAACATGGTTGCTGTCTGCATGCAGTCTGGAAAAGTCTTGCAAGGTGAGGGAGAACTGGATTGTGCAATATGGGCTTGGAGGAATGCCCTTTAGGGATCATTTGGTCCAACCCTCAGTGGATGTGAGGAACTGAGTCAAGACATATGATAACTTGCCTCACACAATGCCATGACCTCATGGGGTGTGGTAAGTTTAAGGCCTGCTCACCTCTTGTAGCTCTTGGAAACTGTGCCATATGCTTCTGGGCTAACCATAAACACAGACACTACAGTCAGAATAGCTCTGGGGAGAGCAAATGAAACAACAGGCCAAGGGAGCTTAGCAGCTTCCACCCTTGATCCCAAAGGAACACGTGGCTTTACTCACCAACAGGGAAGAACTCGCTCATTTTCTTCTTGTAGATCTTGAAGTCAACTTCTAGGAAGACACAGAAGATGATTCGGTCCACCTGGAGGCAAACAATAAACTCTTGAAGTCAAAGGAAATACGGCAGGTGTTTACTCAAAGCACAGTGTTAGAACTGAAGAGTTCAAGAATAAAAATACAGAAATAAAGAAATACAAAGTTGTAAGTCTAGGAGAATGAGAGCAGGTTGTCAGCAGCTTTCTTGGCAGCTTACCAACTAACTGTTCACAGTGGGTTACTTTGCTTTACAACCCATAGCTCTGTCTGTGGCTGAGGCGGCTCTCTGCAAACTAAGGTTCAGCTTTTAGATATTTTAGATAACCTGCCTCCCCTAGCCACTCCTGACCAGCAATTGATGTGAACTGAGTTAACTTTTAAATGATGGGATATACCTGACTTTTTGGTTGTGCATTTTCCCATACCCTTCTCGTACATGAAACCGGCTATATCAGGGGAGTGCAAAGCTTTGGTGGACACCATCAGAAAGTGCCGGAGAGAAACAATGAACTAAATACAAACACTAGTTTAATTAAAAAAAAAAAAAACTCAGTTAATGAGAATTGCAAAGAAGGACAATTTGTGTCTGAGTTTTACCTCAAAATTATCAAAGTTCCTTTGTTATTGCCTAAAGCTTGATGTTTCTTGTTATAAAAGGGGGGAGTTCAGAAACTGTAATCTGCCACAACCTTACATGTCCATCTCTGGTTGTGGTCTCAGCTAGCTGATAAGTTTTATGTGCACCATGAAGATTTATTTTTTTTCAATTTTTAGTGTTTTTCCTGAAATAAATTTTCCTTCTGGTTTAATAGACTTCGGTGGTCTATCCCCTATCTATGTGTGACCCCCTTAGACCCAACAAGAATAGATAAAGATTATTATGAAAGCTTCGTACAGATATTTCATGGTGGAGTATGAACTGTATCAGATGGTGTGTAAGGGTGTGTGTGTGTGTGTGTGTGGACACTTGAGTTATGCGTGAGCATTCACTTGAGTGTGCATGCTCTGTTTATAAAGAAGTCAAGGGTGCTTTTAGGAGAGAGATGCTACATAAAGAAGAAATAACAAATGACGGTAAGCCACGTTGCAGCAAGCTCTAACTAATGCTGAGATTCTGACAGGAGTACCTGGACCTTATGGTCTCTAAAACAGCCACAGGAGAGGCAGACTGACAAGTGTCAATGAAGCACACCAGTAAACCAAGGACTCTTTTACTGATCTTGTTAGACAAATACAGACCTCAAACCCATGGCCTAAAAAGTTTCCATGAGTTTAATTTACATGAAGTCACTTGCTTCTAGCCAAACATATTCAAAATGGCTGCAGAAATTAAATGCTAGTCAATAGTAACACAGGGTCTGTGAACACTTAATTTGGTAGATATTATTAGGTAACAGTCACCTCAGAAGAAAAATGTGTGCATCATCTCCTGTGTTTTCTACTTTGAGAGAGTATCAGCACAGATGGGCTTTCATTGAAATATTCAAGAATAATGTGTCAACGAGAAAGAAGAAATGGACTACACACAGTAGCTTGATGTAGTTGGGTCTTCTTTCTATGTGTTGCTTTCATTGGTTAATTAATAAAGAAACTTCTTGGCCTGATAGGTCAGAACAAAGGTGAGTGGAGTAGACAGAACAGAATGCTGGGAAGAAGGTCAGTGAGGCAGTTGCCATGCCTCTCCTCTCTGAGACAGATACAGGTTAAGATCTTTCCCAGTAAGCCACCACCTCATGGCTTACTAAATATGGGTTAAAGTAAGATGTGAGAATTAGCCAATAAGAGGCTGAAACTAATGGGCCAGGCAGTGTTTAAAAGAACACAATCTGTGTGTTGTTATTTCAGGGCATAAGCTAGCCAGGCGGCCGGGAGCCAGGCGGCACCCGTGTCTCATATTAACTGGGAACTCAATTTTGTGTCAGTAACATGGATACTTCTCCATTTTCTTTCTTCAACAATGAGAAATAAAGTTTAGAAACACTCTGTCAAGGCACAATGGACAACTGAATAAAACATCAAAGCATTTCTTGTGGAAGTGGGGGGTAGATGTGGGATGGGAATGAAGCAGGACAAGAAAGAACCTAAATGGATGTCACCAACCTAACCCTTCCACTCTTCCACCATGTGGGATGCAGATCCTGCCACTCTGATGAGAGTTTTCATTCAGCAACAAAGATGTTCTGGTGTGAGAGATAGCAGGGGGTCACATGGAGCTGTGAAATCATGTGACATGAGTGAGTCCAGAGGCATCACTCACTAATCTTTTCATGAGTCTCTGCCTCAACATGGCTGGGCTGCCTCCTGACCAGTCACTGGAATTCCATTCCATAAAGAATAAGCTACCTTCTGATTGCCTCCTTGACTCTAGTACAAAACAAAGGAACCTGGCCTTAAAAATAGAGAGACAGGGTTCAATGAGTAGATTTCTTTTTTCCTACTTTCACTTTTGAGTAGGATGTCCAGTCCTACTTCTATATCATGAATACTGCCTATATACACCAAAAGTACAGGCTCCCTATCAAATCATTTTCCAGGTAAACTATAATTTTAGATAAAAGCCAGCGTTTAAGTGTTCATGCACATACTCCTTATGAAATGTTAACATCCAGTGGCAAAGCCAAAACCATGCTGAATGACAAAAATGTGTCATCCAAGGGCAGTTTGTATAAAACCTTTTCTACATCATTTTAAAAAACATAAAGTTACAACAATGTAGGGATCCATCTATGAGTAATAGTAAAATAATGAAGTGCAAGGACATTGGGCTAAGTGGTCCTGTGTTCTCTTATGAGCAACCCAAAGATGCACAGAAAAAAAGAAACTTGAACTCAACTAATCATAATCTGCCACCTGCCACCTAGCTCAGTTCTTCAGTGCAAAAATTTGGTAAGGCAGCAGCTCCACTATGGAGCAAACATTGTTTTTCCTTGCATCCATGTTTATCCTAGAAAAGCCCCCTTATGCTCTCTGAATGGTGGTCCACAGTGCAGGCAGTCTGCCCAACCTGTGAAATGCTGCTGCTGCTGCTCAGAACACCTCAGTCCTTAGTGCATTGTGTTTCTCTGTCATGTCTTCTAACATATGGTTTAAAGATGGCTGTGATTTCTGCAAAGGGAAGAGATTTGAGTCTTTAACATGTTAGTTATTAGAAAGTAAAGAGATTTGAGACAACATGACACATAGCTAGCAGCCATTAACTGTGGGAGGAAGTATATGAATAAACTATTTTCTCTATTTTTTTTCCATGTTTGGAAAACTTCACAATTAAAGACTCTAAAGTTGATAAGATTATCTTCTGTTCCCTGAGCCAGATTCAGTTTTCTAGCTCTGCAGAAGCACTTGGGGCTTCTGGAGCCCATAATTATTCTTGTGTACCTCTGAGTGTTGATTATTTTTCCTTTATGCTTCTAAATCATCTAGTGTGATCAGAAGTCAAAACCAAGAAATTTTGATTTACTAAAAACTTAAGGTGATTGAGTTAAACAATTTTGTGTCCTCTCACATTTATACTTAAGAACAACAAATCACATAATTTTTTAATCATCATGTCTCTTATGTGTGTGTGCAAACGAGTGTGAATGAGTGTGTGTATTCTCATGGTGGGGGCTCTTTTAGTAGCAATGCTATTTTCTGCTACCAACTTCAAATCCTACCAAGTTCAGATGAAGATTATCTAAATATTGCAAGGGATCATAATCTACTTCTAGATAAGATAGTAGGCTTGATGACCATGGGAATGATATGGGCCCAAAATTCAACAGCCCAGTTAATTTTCCCCAGGGGAAAAATGAATGCTGAAGTTTGAAAATTTTAATTTTAAAATAGTTGGATTCTCTAGTTAACTGTCCTGACTTACAGGCCTAGCTCTGTGAAAAGCAGCCTGCCAGCAAATTGAAGCCAAGCGTTGCCTTCATTCATTAGATACTGATTGCATATTTGTATTCTCTTGTGCGCATGTATTTTCTAGGCCACTATTGCATAAAGCTCCACTTAAAAAGTCTATTTTTAAAGTCCTTCAAGTACTGATACTTCCTTATCCCATGGTTCTCTTTATAGTACAATAAAGATGATGGTACTCCTCTTGCTGAGGGGTGGGATCTAAACTCCCATCTCTTAAGTCTGGGAGGCCTGTGGCCATGAAGGATTGATGTTAAGTGGCTTATGAGTAAGAGAATGCAGATCTCGTCTAGTACTCTTGAGAGGACACTTCCTATATACAAACTTCATAACTTGTACAAGTAACAAGAACATGTGGAGAACCCACATGCAGCTATTTTGTCAACAGCTCCAGCTGGAAGGGGGTGGCCTTTCCATGATTTCAGCTCCAGGCGTTTGAACCACCCAGCAGATGTACAGGGAGCAGAGAAGAGGTACTCCGGCTAGACACTCACTGCAAATCCATAAGCAAAGACATGGAAACATGTAATGACAGACTTGACATCTTCCCGACTAATCCTGGTACCCTTTCTGAGTCTTGCTTTTACAGCTCTTTGGTACTTTACACCTGTCGAGAAGCTCAGAGTGAACGGATCACACTGATAGAAAACACCTTTGTTACATGGCCGAGAGACTGGGCATCTGTCTCGTGTGGAGGAGGAAAGTCGTGCGTATTTCTTTCTAACCCTGGATGACTTCTAAGAGAACCTTTGACAGCTCAGAATGGTACCACTTATGTTTTTTCTTAAAGCCATTGGATAATTTCACAAAATGATGGTTCTTGAGAAACCATTTATTTGCCTTTCATCGAGTCGCCTTGAGTTCACAGGCATAGCCCACATACCATGCCGTGTCTATGAAAACAAAAGCCCAGCAATTGAGTGGCCTTTTTTGTAGTACCAGAAAATTAATTAATGATATAACTTGACCCGAAATACCAAATTTTCCTCTTTGATATTACCCGGAAGAAGACCTATGCCATTGAATTTCTAGGCCTGCCCCTAGATATAAGACAGTGGATGGGTCCTCCATTTTCAAGTTGTATAATACCAAAGGTCTCATCCATAGCTGGTGGAGTCTGTCCTTGCAGCTCTTTTGTACTGTCTGGAT